AATCCGCTCTGCTCCACTTCCCATGGCGTGGAGTAATCTCAGAAGGCCTATGCTGAGGCATTAGGTAAAGAACGAAACGCCATGCCCAGCACTGGAACGTGGCTCATCCCTCGATCTCTTCTGTGAGCTGAGATCTGACCTCAGTTTCCTTGGATGTGAGCGCAACTTGACACTGGGACTTTATGGTGATGTTGCTTCCTCAGGACTCTTGGAAAATTCAGCGGCTGCTCCTGCCATTTATGTGGAGGCCTCCTCTGCATTTCACTAGGTGAAGAATGAAAGTGTCTTCACACTGAAATAGGAGATGCTTGGTTGCCCCTTATTCCTCAGCAGTGGTTCCTACATGTGAGTTAAATCAGCGCTGCCTCCGAAAAATCCTGCAAATCTTTTGGGAAGACAGGCGGACAAGGGTCAAAGTTCATCAGCATTGCAGCAGTGCTCCTCCGCCATCAACTCTGCAGGACTGGCCACGTTGTCGAAATGCCTGATCACTGTCCCCCAAAGCAGTTACTCTACTCTGAATTCAAAAATTGAAAAACGAATGATGGGGGACAGGAAAAGAGATTAAGAGACGGACTCAAAGCCAACTTCAAAAACTGTGGCATAGACAGCGAGAAATGGGACGACATGAACCCTGAGCACCCTAACTTTATGTCAGCTGTGACCAGTAGTGCTGCAGAATTCGAAGAGGCACCAATGGAGAGCAAAATGGAGAGATGTGCTGAGAGAAAGGCACGTCAAGCGAACCCTGACCCTGACCGCCTTCTGTTTATAATTCTATGTCCTCCTGGCAGGAGAACATGTAGATCAAGAAAAGGGCTCCACAGCCACTTACGGACCCACTGCCAAGACACTACATCACCCTTGATCTACGAGGAAAACGTCTAAGAAGATCCTTCCTGAAATGAAGCACCCTCCACCTCCCCACTCTTCGCCCCCTCCTCCCAATTTGGGTGCCCTAGTCACCCTACACATGGAGTATCCTGGGAGCTCTGAGCTGAGGCATTCAATACAGAACTAGAGGCCTTACCGAGCTCTGCAACATCACTTATGTCCCCTGTGAAAGGAAAAAATGAGGCATCAGTGAGGAGGCGCCAGGAGAAGAAAGTGGGACTCAAAGCTCCTTGGTCGCCCCTGTTCCTCGGCAGTGCTTCCTAAAAGTAAGTCTAATGCAGCAAGGACCAAGGTTTGTTCTACACGTCCTTCCCTAGAGAGCTGAAACAGCTTCCTTTGAGATTTGGAGGTCCCTGGCAGGATGTTTCTTCCACTCCTTCTTCTCTGCTGGAATTCTGATCTGGCAAACAAGCTTCCTCCTCCATCCATGTTTGCTGTTTGGATGGGAGAGGAAGCTTCCATTTCCCCAAAGATATGATGCAATAAGTGCAAAGCCCTGGGGTTCAGTGGAAATCCCCATGCGGAGAAAAGATGGAAGCACTTTGCCATGCTCCATGATCACAGGGTGGACTCTAGCCCCCTTCTATGTATTTTGTGAACACACACTATTGTACACAAAAGGCAAACTACAGAAGTGGACATTGCGATATCTCTGTCCTCTTGCCAGAAACAAGATCTGACCCACCCTAGGACACACGGAGGCTCGGACAATTCCCTTGGATCAATTTCTCTGTTTTACTTTCTTGACACCAGATTTTGCCCAAATGAACTTTCCGGCGCATTTCATGTCGGCCACTGTGTGAGCAGGAAATCTCCTCTGAAATGCCTAGTAGAATATCGAAGATTCCCTATAGCAGTCTTTGTCCCTGTACAACAGAGTGCACTTTGTGATGGGATCATAGCTTATGATTTTTGTGTGTTAAAATTTTTGTCTGCTGCCTAAGCAGTTGTTTTTCAATTCCTTTTCTTATCTTGTGAACTTTCCATTTCTTTCCACAGGAGCACAGCTTGGACAACAAGCCCCGCAAGCATTAGGGGTGAGCCAAAGATTTCAGCTAACGTTCCAGCCACGCCACCAAAGTCTGATTCTCCAATCGTCCGCCATGGCTCGTCTGCTCCTTCCGAACCCCTCCCCTCCCCTTCTTCCTCTCCTTCTGCCTTTCCTTCCCCACCTCCCCCTCTCTGCCCCTCCTCCCCTTTCTCCCTCCCCTCTTCCTCCCCTCCCCCCTTTCCCTTCCCCCTCTCCATCCCCTCCTCTAACTTCCCTACCATCCTCCATCCCCCTCCCCACATCTCACACCTCACACACCACAGGCATCACACACACATCACACAGATCACATACCCTATATACTCAAGTAAAAGCCTAGGTTTTCAGCACTGTTTTTATGCTGAAAAAATGTCCCCTTGGGTTATACTCGAGTGAGGATCTTGGCAGGAAGATGTGGGGCTGAATGCAGCCCTTTGTAGGGTTTATACCAGCTGTGTACCCCCTTCCCTTTTGGCACAGCAGCCCAGCTGGATCTCTGTGCTGAGAGAGGAGGAGAGGAAGGTGTGTGGCCTCTCCTCTCTGTGCAGCAACCTCCTCTCCATTAATATAATTGTATTGCTATTTATCTTTCTTTTGAAATGTACCATTAACTGCAGTTTGTACTATATTAAATAATAGTTTAAAATTCTGTACAAAAGCAATAGCTTGTACAGAATATACTAATAAATAGATTAATATATCTTTATTAGTAGATATCTTTATTTTGACATTTACCAGTAACTGCTGCCTCTACTGTTTTAAATAATAGTTTGAACTTCTGTACAAAAGCAATAGCTTGTAAGAGCTATGCTGCCATCGGCTTGAATCGATTAGTTTTCCAAGCTTTTAGTGGTAAAGTTAGGTGCCTCCACATATATTCGGGTCGGCTTATACTTGGGTATACAGGGTAATTGCACACTACACATACCTCATACAAACAAACCAGATACACATCACATATGCCATGCACATCCGACACATCTCATCCATCTCATGTATCCTTTTTCATACCATCTCTTTCTATTTTCTACCTATTTCTCTTCTATATCTTTCTGTCATTCTCTTTATTCATTCTCTCTTCTACTTTTTCTTTTCTCATTTGAGTTCTCTTCCTTTCTCCTTTTTCTTCCTTCTATTTCTCGTTCTATTTGCTCCTCCCTCTTTCTTTCTCATTCTCTTTTCCATCTCTCCACCTCCCCTCACTCCTACTAACCTCCCCTTTCCTCCCTACCCTTTCCCCCCTCCCTCCTTTCCTCTCCCTTCTCACCCTCCCCCCTCCTCCCCTCCTTTCCTCTCTGCTCCCCTCTTTCTCCTATCCTCCCCTCCCTCTCTTCTCTCAATCCGCTCTGCTCCTCTTCCCATGGCATGGAGTAATCTCAGAAGGCCTATGCTGAGGCATTAGGTAAAGAACGAAACGCCATGCCCAGCACTGGAACGTGGCTCTTCCCTCGATCTCTTCTGTGAGCTGAGATCTGACCTCAGTTTCCTTGGATGTGAGCGCAACTTGACACTGGGACTTTATGGTGATGTTGCTTCCTCAGGACTCTTGGAAAATTCAGTGGCTGCTCCTGCCATTTATGTGGAGGCCTCCTCTGCATTTCACTAGGTGAAGAATGAAAGTGTCTTCACACTGAAATAGGAGATGCTTGGTTGCCCCTTATTCCTCAGCAGTGGTTCCTACATGTGAGTTAAATCAGCGCTGCCTCCGAAAAATCCTGCAAATCTTTTGGGAAGACAGGCGGACAAGGGTCAAAGTGCTAGAAGAGGCAAAGTCCATCAGCATTGAAGCAGTGCTCCTCCGCCGTCAACTCTGCAGGACTGGCCACGTTGTCCAAATGCCCGATCACTGTCTCCCAAAGCAGTTACTCTACTCTGAATTCAAAAATCGAAAAAGGAATTTCTGTAGACAGGAAAAGAGATTAAGAGACGGACTCAAAGCCAACCTCAAAAAACTGTGGCATAGACAGCGAGAAATGGGACGACATGACCCCTGAGCACCCTAACTTTAGGTCAGCTGTGACCAGTAGTGCTGTAGAATTCGAAGATTCATGAATGGAGGGCAGAAGGGAGAGATGTGCCGAGAGAAAGACAAGTCAAGCGAACCCTGACCCCGACCGCCTTCTGTTTATAATTCTATGTCCTCCTGGCAGGAGAACAGGTATATCAAGAAAAGGGCTCCACGGCTATTTATGGACCCACTGCCAAGACACTACAACACCCTCGATCTACGAGGAAATTGTCTAAGAAGATCCTTCGTAAAATGAAGCACCCTCCACCTTGCCACTCTTCCCCCCCTCCTCCCAATTTGGGTGCCCTAGAAACTCTACACATGGAGTATCCTGGGAGCTCTGAGGTGAGGCATTCATTACAGAACTAGAGGCCTTGCCCAGGTCTGGAACATCACTCATGTCCCCTCTGGCATCAGTGAGGAGGCGCCAGGAGAAGAAAGTAGGAATCAAAGCTCCTTGGTCGCCCCTGTTCCTCAGCAGTATTTTCTAAAAGTAAGTCTAATGCAGCAAGGACCAAAGTGTGTTCTAGAAGTCCTTCCCTAGAGAGCTGAAACAGCTTCATTTGAGATTTGTGTGTCCCAATAAGAGCAAGGCCCTGGGGTTCAATGCAAATCCCAATGGGGAGAAAAGATTGAAGCACTTTGCCATGCTCCATGACTACAAGGTGGTCTCTAGCCCCTTTCTATTTATTTTGTGCACACAAAAGGCAAACTTCATAAGTGGACATTAATTTGCTCTCTTGTGATAATTCTGTCTTCTTGCCTTAAGGAAGATGTGAACCACCCTAGGACACACAGGTGGGGTCATAGCTTGGGATTTTTGTGTGTTTTAATTTTTTCTGCCACCTAAGCAGTTGATTTTCAATTCCTTTTTCTTGTATTTTGAACTTTCTGGTGAGGGCGAGGAGGTACTGAACCTTCCATTTCTTTCCACAGGAGCACAGCTTGGAGAATAAGCATTAGGGGTGAGGCAAAGTTTTCAGCTAACGTTCCAGCCACGTCACCAAAGTCTGATTCTCCAATCCTCCGCCATGGCTCCTCTGCTCCTTCCCAACCCCTCCCCTCCTCCTTCCCCTATCCAACTCCCCTCCTTTCCCTCCCCCTCCACTCCCTCYCTGCCTGCCCCTCCTTCCCCTTCCCTTTCCCCTCCTTTCCTCTCCCATACTTTCCTCTCCCCCCCCTCCCCTCTTTTCTCTCTGCTCCCCTCCTTCTTCTATCCCCGTCCTCTCCCCATCCCCTCTGCTTCCCTTCCAATGGCATGGAGTAATCTTAGAAGGCCTGTGCTGAGGCATTAGGTAAAAWATTAAGTGCCTTGCCCAGCACTGGATCACAGCTCATCCCTCGATCTCTTTTGTGAGCTGAGATCTGACCCCAGTCTCTTTGGATGTGCACTCAACTTGACACTGGGACTTTATGGTGACGTTGCTTCCACACGACTCTTCTAACATTCAGCGGCTGCTCCTGCCATTTATGTCGACGCCTCCTCTGCACTTCACCAGATGAAGAACAATAATGCCTTCATTCTGAAATCCGGGATTCTTGGTCGCTCCTTATTCCTCGGCAGTGGTACCTACATGTGAGTTAAATGCAGCACAGTAGTATATGCATTTCCTTCTCTGGCTTATTGATATAGCTTATATTGGTTTGGCTGGGTTCCTGTGAAATGCATAGTAGAATATCTTTGATTCCTTATAGTTTTCTTTGTCGCTGTACAGTAGAGTGCATGCTGTGATGTGATCATAGGTTGTGATTATTGTGTGTTGTGATTTTTGTATGCTGCCTAAGCCTTTTTTTCTTATATTGTGAACTTTCAGGTGAGGGTGAAAAGGTACTGAACCTGCCATTTCTTTCTGCAGGAACACAGCTTGGACATCAACCCCCACAAGCATCAATGGTGATGCAAAGGTTTCAGCTAATATCCCATCCATACCACCCTCAGTCAGAGAAAGTGAATTGGTGGAGACAGCAAGGGAGAACACGTTCTGAAGTGAGAGCCACATGGAATTTGGAGAAATCAAGAGAAATGCTATGTCAAGACACTTTCTCTTCTTTGTCGTGGGTTGCCATTCCTTTCCTCAACTGTATAGATGTTTGAACTACTCCTGACTATGTTCACTAAATAAGAAATCACAATATGTTAGCCAGTTTTTGGCAGAACTCTATCCAACTTGTCTTGGAGCAAAAGAGAAAAGGCCTTAGTGGAAGGAGAGGATGGCTCTACTGCCTTTTCTCTTTTTTTCTACATTCCCACCAGTTCAGTCCCAATGACTCTGCACAGATATGCTACCTGATGACTGCAAACTGGGAAGTCTTCTTTCCTTCTGGTGTCCCCTTATCCTTCTTTTTAAAAAAAAAAAAAGCTTTGCTTAGGAAGGCTAAACATCATCGTTTTACACCTGTGGTTCCCATCCTTTTTCTTGACCAGGGACCACTGTCCAACATTAGTACCAAAAGGGTTACTAATCAGTTTTTGGTCAACTTTAGGTTTGGTTTGATTATTTGGGGTGCTGATTGAGAAAATTGCATTGGATAGACCACATCTGCTCCAGTTTCTGATACAGAACATATGCCATCCAGTAGTTGCCATCTGCTCACACACAGAAAACCATATTTAATAATCTAGAGCTAATGTGGTATATTCAGTGCAATTTTCTGAATCAGCACCACAAATAACCTCAGAAACAAGCTGAAAAACAAAGACACCAAGAAAATAATGCTTTTTTGGTTGGGCTGTTATTATCTTTGGATTTTGTTAACACTCGTGTGAAAAAAAAAGAGGGGAAAGGGGCTGAGGGTTTGGGTTAAGGTTTAGCAATGGGAGCTTATCATCATCATCATCATCATCATCATTACTTTGGGGGAATTTGGCAATGGGAGCTATTAATATTAACAACAACAACAACAACAACAACAACAACAAATTTGGGGGACTAAATGGGATTTTACAAAGGGTTGCTTTCACATTACAACTCTTGTGTTTTGCAATGGGAGCTGCTTATTATTATTATTATTATTATTATTATTATTATTATTATTAAGGGCTGCTTTCACATTACAACTGAAGTGTGGCTATGGGAGCTAATAATAATAATGCTAATAATAATAACTTTGGGGCACTCTCCTTTTTCTTGCTCTCCTCCAATGGTGGCAGCGAAGCCTCAAGAAGGTGAGGGCAATGGTGCTGGCTTCCTTCCTTCTTTCCTTCCTTCCTTCCTTGTCTCCCTATTCTTCTCTCTCTCACTCTCCTCCAATGCCAGCATGCACCCCAGCTGCAGACCTTATTTTTGGTCTCATGGTCCACCAGTGGGCTATGGCCCACAGATTGGTAACCACTGGTCTATACAGTTAACACACTCTTCAGTGTGGCAAAGAAGATGCGGGTGTTTTTATTTTTATTTTTACCACATAACAGCTAAAAACGGTTGGCACATGGTTGGGATTTTGGTTCTCATTTTCTCATTTTTCTCGTTTTCATTTTGTATCTCAATTTTACTGGTACCATGAAGGAATGGTCACACATATGGCCAAGAAAATCCAAGCCCTGTTTTGTTAGCAATGATTTTGGTTTTTGGTATTTGTTATATTAGGGGATGTGTGTCCAGTTGTGGCAAAAGTCTGAATATTCAATTCTCCATCCCTTCCCTTCTCCCTCCCCTCACCTCTCCTCCTCTCTTCTCTATCCACCTCCTCTCCCCTCCCCCCTCCCCTCCCTTCCCTTCCCCCTCTCTCTTCCCTCCCCCACATCCCCCCCCCTCACATGGGACATCCACCAGAAATTTTCTTTTTCTTTTTGTGGATTCTCTAAGATGTGCTGGACATCATAGGTGGTGATGCAGATATACAAATGTGCACACACAGATTTATTGTCATTATCTCTCCTCACTCTCCTGTTGCTTTAGATTTGCCCTCTTGAACCCTGCTTCCCTCTGTGTATCCTTGGTAATGATAATAACATTATACTAGTACTGTATAGTTAGGTATTATCATTATATTATTATTATTATTATTATTATTATTATTATTATTATTATTATTATTATAATGATGATAACACTGTCCTGTACTATTATTATTATCATTATCATTATTCTTAACCTATAACATATGAATGCTAAAATATAATTAAGCATACAAATATTATTAGTATAGTATAGTATAGTATCATTATCATCATAATGATCMGTCATAATAATAGTCAGACAACCAAATAATGAAAACAACAACTTTTATGAACCTTTTACATCTACTGAATTGGAAATGGCTCTCAATAAATGTAAAAATGGCAAGCAGCTGGCCTGGACGATCTACAGATGGAACAAATTAAGAACTTTGACCCAAAAGCAAGGTGCTGGCTGCTGAAACTGATGAACAACTGCATTACCTCCTGTCAGATCCCTCAAATCTGGAAGAAAACAGGAGTCATGGCCATCTTGAAATCAGGAAAAGATCATAATCATCAAAAACGCTTAGACCAATCTCCTTGTGCCATCTTTATAAAGTTCTAGAGGGACTTATTTTGCATAAAATTATGGGGGAAAATAGACCCATGTATGATTCCACAGCAAGCTGGTTTCAGTAAAAGTAAAAGCTGCACATCACAAGTGTTGAACCTGACTCAGCATAGAGAATATAGTTTTGAAATGCAGTAGATTACAGGAACTGTCTTCATAGACCTGTCAGCAGCATGTGATACTGTAAATAGCGTCTTCTCCTGAGAAAAATTATAATATTTCAAAGGATTCCACCTCACCTGCTTCACAGGAGCTTTTTTGTTGAGTACCAGGGTCAGAGAAGCAGATTGCAAAAACAGAAGAACAACCTGCCTCAGGGGAGCATGCTTGCATCATCAATGTATATCATTTACACAGATGAAAATCCACTGCCAGAAGGGACAGACAGATTCATCTATCACTGCTCAGGCAAGGAACTTTGAGATGGTTAAACAAAAACTTTCTGAAGCTTTAGGCGTTCTTACTGCCTCCTACAGGGAAAACCAGCTGATTCCTAATCCATTTAAAACACAGAAGTGTGATTTTCATCTTAAGAACAGACAAGCATCTTCAGCTCTGTGGATTTCCTGGGAAGGAATCCCATGGAGCATTGCAGCACACCAAACTACCTAGGAGTCACTCTGGACAGTATTCTGACTTATAAGAAGCACTGCCTGAATATCAACCAGAAATGGGTACTAGAAATAATATATGAAAGATGACTGCTCCTTCTTTGGAGGTTTTTAAACAGAGGCTAGATGGCCATCTGTCAGGGGTGCTTTGAATGCAATACTCCTGCTTCTTGGCAGGGGGTTGGACTGGATGGCCCATGAGGTCTCTTCCAACTCTATGATTCTATGAAAATGGAGATAAAGTGTTTTCTTAACAACGTGAATGGCCAAAAAACCCCATCTAAAAGAAGAAAAATATACAATCAAAGTAGGAAAGGAAAATATACAATAGCAGCATTACAGGAAACACATATAAAACAAAAACTACCCACCTAATCCAAAAAGATTTAGGAAAGGAATTTTATGCCTCAGCCAATGAAAAAAAGCAAGGAGTGGTTGTTTATATAGACCCAAAGACCCCAGAAGAGACTGCATTTAAAGATCAGGAAGGAAGATATATCGGAGTTATAATCACTCTGAACAATCAGAAGATACTTTTTTGCAATGTCTATGCCCCCAAATTGTGCATATCTAAATCCGTCAAAGAAGTAAAAGAACAGTTATCAACACAAAAAATTCAATGAGTTAATCATTATGGAGTCTTGGATAGCAAATTAGACAGGAATACTTTAACAAAACATAATAAAGAAAAGAAACTGGAGAATTACCACAGTCATTTATTAACCTCATGAATGAATTCAATCTTCAAGACACATCAAGAAGTAGGAACCCTAAAGAAAGAGACTACACTGTCTATTCAGATTGTCACCAATCATGGTCAAGAATAGACATGGTCTGGACAACAAACATTATATCAACCAAGATTCAAAAGGTTAACATTCTCCCAAGAACAAACTCAGGCCATTGTCCCATAGAATGAAATTGGAACATAGGAGAATATAAGAGGAGATGGAGACTAAACAACAAATCACTGAGATCAGAGGAAGATATAAATAGAAATAAAGATATTCTATGAGAATCTTTTGAACTGAAAATGTTACATACCAAACGATCTGGGATACAAGTAAAGCTGTGATGTGGGGCCATTTAATTCAGCAAAATGCAAGAAAAAACAAAGCAAGAAATAGAGAATATTTACAAGTAATGACTGCAATATCGGAAACAGAAAAGGATTTGAAGAAAAACCCTCAAAAACAGGAATTAAAGAATCAATTATAGATTTTACAAAAACAAAGAAGTTATTTAGAGGCAGAGCAACTGTCAAAGAAATTGAAATTTGCAAAACAGCAATATTTCCAAAATGCAAATAAATGTGGAAAATGGCTTTCCAGAAAAATAAGGGGAAAAAGACAAAAACAACGCACAACAAAAATTATTTCAGAAGGGAAAACTCTCGTTAAAGACAAAGAGATATTGCAACAATTCAATAAATACTATAAGAAACTTTATTCAGAAGAACAAATAAAAAAAGAAGATGTAATTCATTACCTGGAGTAACAAGAATTACAGAACAACAAAGAGAAATCTTGAATAAGGAAATAACAGACCAAGAAATAAATGACACTATAAATAAAGTGGATATCACCAAAGCTCTGGGTCCAGATGGCTTCACGGCCATTTACTACAAAGTATTTAAGGAAGAATTAAGACCTTACTTAAAACAAATAATGAATGAAGCACCACAGTATAAGAAGATACCGGATCCTTAGAAACAAGCTAATATAAGTATGATTCATAAAGAAAATAAAGAACCAAAAGATATAAAGAACTATCATCCCATCTCTCTTCTAAACTTGGATTACAAAATTTTCACAAATATTTTGGCAAAGAGGTTAAAATCATATCTTAAAGACTGGATTAAAAGTGACCAAACAGGCTTTCTCTGTCAAAGAAATATCAAAGATAATGTTAGAACAATATTAGACATACTGGAGTACTAAGAAGTTAATAATCCAAAAGAAGCGGCACTGATGTTCATAGATGCAGAGAAACTTTTGACAGCGTAAATTGGAATTTTATATTATCTTTACTTAAAGAAATTGATGCTGGATACTATTTTATAAATGCCATACAAGCCATTTATACCACTCAAGAAGCCTCAACAGTCATAAATGGCCAAGAAGATAAGAAAATTAAAATTCAGAAAGGGACAAGGCAAGGTTGCCCCTTATCACCCCTTTTGTTTATCATGACAGTGGAGATATTATTGAATAAAATA